CCTTGGGGGGGGGGGGGGGCGATATTAATTTTGTGAAAGTGAGATACACTGTGATGATGTTGATAATAATAATAAATCAACTATGTTTTTTTTTCCTTTTCCTTAGTGGCGCCATAGTAAAATACTGAATTATTTGTAAGACATGATAAATGAGTGGCGGTCAAGATGGATCATTCCACAAAGAGTGACGCTTGTTATCATCGACTTTAAGGATTACACGATCGTTAATTTTATCCGATAATATTTCTTAAAAAATAATAAACGAAGTTTTTTATTATAATGAATCTATTTTGTAAAGAACGTCTCAGGAAAGTTGAAACTTCTTTATGATAGTGTTCGTTAGCCTTTGAGTAAACTTTTCCAAAATACCACCAACCTCATCATTATTACAGCCCTTCGCAAGTCGACTGCTATTATATTAAATATAAAATAGGCTTAAAAAGAAAAGCGCTAAGCGAGTATTTTAAAAACAAATTAGTGAACATAAATAGGTTTTCGCTTTAGTTTTCACAAAAACGTATTTTGAGGTCAGTTATTTTTAAATAGTAATATATATATATATATATATATATATATATATATATATATATATATATATATATATATAGATGGGTTTTTTGGGTTTTTATCTCGTATACGTTTTTCAACCGACTTCAGAGAACGGAGGGGGTTCTCAATTCGACTGTTTTTTATGTGTGTTATCTCAGAACTTTTTTCTAGGTCTTTCTATTTATATTTGAAAGCTCAAACTTTTTTGTGGTCCCATAGAAAATTAATCATGATCTGACCTGTAGTTTCTTAGTTATCTTTTTAATGCGTAATTAATTGACGTTCACTACAATGATGATGTTTTCATTTTATTTACATTGAAGTCGGCTGTAAAAATATTAAATTTTACCATTTGTATAATATACTAAGGGTGAAAAACGAGTATGCTCGTCAATCCGATGGTAATTTTAACGTAGACACTTACATCTACCGACTACGAATCTAAAAGTAGATGCGTTGTCTCACCTGAGGACTAAGATAGAATGCTTCGTCACCGATATAAAGGGTGTCTGGTTCTCTTCACTCATATCATATGAATCATAGCTGTTATTTTACGCCGTTGCTCTGTGAAAGCGTGGTTCTTTCCCAGTTAGCTCGACCTATTCGAGCTATAAACCTAATACGAGTATAGCTACAACACGGCTCTATCATTTTACAAGTGATAATAACTATGCAGATGTTTAATAAATTCGTATATAGGGCTGACTACATTAGTAGATATTTAATATGCTTAAAGTACTATAACTTGTACGTATGTACGTACTTATTACAATGCTTGACTATAAGCAAACCTGGTGGTAAGTGAAGATGAATCCCAAGATGGTAAATTGTAAAAAATGCTCCGTCTTATTGTAACAAAATACTATGTTGTAATTAACTTTCGCTCTAAATATAACCAGATTTAAATCGAATGGAAACACAGACGTCGTCAAAATACGATATCAAAAAGATCTTAATTTATTATTATATATTAGGCTTGAGCAAGTCGATGACTTCATGTATTTGGCATGGGTATTTAGCAGGGACGGTAGATATGATGAGGATATAGAACGACGAGTGAATGCAGGAAATAGTGTCAGTGGGGCTCTATAGTCTATATAGTTTTGAGTCGATAGTATTTAGTACTATTATTTTCCCAATATTCACGGTGTCAAATATTTTACGACGCTTCTATTACCTAATTAAATATTTCTTTTGAAAAATGGCACATTGATACATAAAGGTTCACCACCCCTGCCTTAAACGAAGGCTTATAGGCCTGATTGGCGATATTTTGAAAATCGGTCACATTATGAGTACCCTTAACCTACGAGTGTGTATGCGTAGATATATTAATGTAAAGGAGGCGAGAGAGGTGTGTCAGGATCGTGCTAAATGGAAGTCCGTAGTCCCTGCCTACCCCTCTAGGTGACAGGCGTGTGTGTTTATGTATATTTTATGTATCAAATGGCTACCAATAGACGGCGTTATTACCACCTCATATACGGCCGATGTAAAATAACCAGGGCAACGTCTGGTACTTCGATGATCAAAGATTAAGGCAACTCTTTTCTGCAAGATAGAGTTTTAACTTAAATATAATGTCGAAACAAATCTACAGGCTTTACTAAATAGAAATAGTAATGACAATCGCTGTGGAATGACAGGCTGATAAGATATAACGAGTGTTAATGATCTGACCTTGTGCCTGTGTTTATGGTAGACCTAAGGCAGTTGACTGAATTTGATAGATTGCACTTTTGATATTAAGTAAAAGCCGATTCCAAACAAAAAAAATAATAAAATAATTTCAAATGTCGAAGTCGGTGCTAAGACGTAGTGCATAGAAGAAATAAAGCTCCGACTTCAGAATGTGTAATAATTACTTTGTACTTATTAGTACCATAGGAACTAAAACTATTTTATGGAAAGTTATTTTTTTATTATTTCGAATAGATTAAAGAATATCACAATCGAAATATCGAATTTCTTTTTTTAAAGCATTGGGTGACAAACGAGCACACAGTCCACCTGATGGTAAGTGGATGCTGTAGCCCATAGACATTTACATTTATTCTCGATTACTAATCAAAACGCAAATGCGTTGTCACCCTTAAGGACTAAGATGGAATGCCTTGTTTCCAGTAAAAAAGAGTCTCCGGATCTCTACACTCACCATACGAAACACAGCAGCATTAAGCTGCTATTTTACGCAGGAATACTGTGACAGCATGGTCCTTCCCTGGTCGAGAAGACCCATTAGTGCTACAACCATAATATAACTGCAGCGTGGCTCTACCTCTACCACGTATAGTTAATATTAGTATTATAATAAAATACTAAAATTATTTAAAAAAAAAACAAGAAAATATCACACTACACGCCATTGAAAATAAATAACCAAATTGTAAATAAAGTTGATGAAGAGAAATATCTGGGACTGATAATAGACTCGCACTTAACATGGAAACCACATATTTCTAAAATTAAACAAAATTAACTTCTCTTTCTGGTGCCACACGGGGTATGGTTATATGTTTACCGCACCGAGTTCGATATAATATATATATATAACTCTCTCATAAAACTGCATTTAGAATACTTGACTGAAGTTTAGGGCACCCTGCGAAAACAAATCTAGAACCACTACAAGGGTCTACAAAGTAGACCCTTGTAGTGTTAAATAAAGATGTATATACTCAAATAACATTCACAAAGAAACAACAAATACAAAAAATTTTACTCTTAATGTACGAAATTGTATAACCAATTACCGAAAAATATCAAAAAAGCAAAATCAATGCCAACATTTAGAAAGCACTTAAAATATTATTTAACATCTAACCTGAGCGTACCTTGATTTCACTATTTTACGCGTCGCTTCTAGCTACACTCGGTTTGTGTAAGGTGCGCGTTCAAGCATTGTTTGCTCCTTGGCTATGTAAGTTTTTTAAAGTACCCTTTTTTTAACATGGGGAAATGCCTACGCATACCCTCCTCGCGGGGGCAAGGACGGGTTAAGTCGGACTCGCACCGACTAAAACCCCATGGTGTTCCACCTTCGTCGCATATTGGCAGGGCTACGGCAACGCTTTCGCACACTTCCGCGGCCCTACCAGCGACTGCCGCCCCATGGCAGCACCTCCTCGGGAGAGGAATATTCCTCCCCGTTCTCCTTCCCAAGTAAGGCGCACCAGAACACATGGCACGCCTTCCTCCACGGCCTCCAATTGCATCTGCGCAACAGACGCCCCCGCGTCCGATGCGCGAAGGCGATGGGGCCAGGAAAAACGAGCACTTAGAAGTACTAGCCTTCCCGACCCCAGCGGCGGATCTGGTCTATGGCTCCGCCGCCAACCAAGATTCGGCTGCGGAGGATAGGGAAAGCGGCGCCTCGCAATACCGACAATCCTCTCCCCCCGCAGCCCCATCACCACCGCATCAACGGTGCGGCCCCGTTTGAGTCGCGGAGGATAGGGCGAGTGGCGCATCGCCATACCAACACTCCTCTTCCTCCGCGACTCCACCTCGGCTGCAGCGGTAGAGGGTGCGGAGTCCCCACTCGCTGCAGTCCACAAGCACACATCCGAAGTGGGCTCCCCAAGCCCACTCGGAGTGGCCACCTCAGGCCGGCCCTTCACCTCGGGCCAGCCACGTGGGTTCCTCTCTGTTCACCGTGGGAAACCAAGCCACGGCTACTGAGCCCCCCCCTCCCGCCACGACAAGGCGGCGGGAACCCGTTCGGGGGGTTTAAAAGTACCCTGTATAATAGTATTTTGTTTGTTCTAGAAATAAAAATTGCTAAAAATGTATAGTTACAACTGAGTGTGTTTAAGTGAAATTGATTCGATATATTAGTGTACGCCTAGGTTAAGACTATTATTTATTTGTATGTATTTAAACATTCTCATGTAAGTGAATTGTTGTAAATTCTTATGAGAAATAAAGATATCGCAAACCTTAATTATTTTATGGAAAGTTATTTTTCGTCCTTTTGAGTAGACTAAAGACTATCACGATCGCAAAATCGACTAAATAGTTATGTTAGAAACTTCACCCGTATTTTTATTTTTTCATTCAAATTGTCATGGCGCTCCTCCTGTATACGAGTATAAAAACTAATCCTCAAAATTACTTTACAATTGACGAAGATGACAAACAAAAAACTTTTAGTCAAATTCAAAAGGAAGTGGTTTTTTACAACAATAATATTAAAAAATCATACTTATCTTTATTTTTTATACGATAAAGCGATTAATTTTGTAGTAGAAATCATCCGAACAAAATCGAGGCAACAACTAACAAAAATTTCTCGTAAGTTAATTTAGATAATATTATTAAATAGATGCCTAGTTATGTGCCAGTTTTGGAAAATCCTGATAGGAAACATCCCGTGGAAGCTAAATATTTTAATAGTCGACTAATGACAAAGAAGTAATCTGATTAATTATAAAATCAATATCTTTTTCCAGAAAGTTCGTTCGGTATGCGGCACCTCATTATGTTCCTGCTCTTCATGGCCACAACTGTCTCGTACGCCACGCGGGTCAGCATGAGCATCGCTATTGTAGCTATGACCACGGATAATGACTACGGATATCTCGTAAGTTAATAATTAGAAACTAGACGTTTTTTACGTTATAGACATGTCTTCAGCAGATTGTATAATTCGTAACTATACGAACGGCGTCGTCTGTTTGCAAACGCTCCCTGGCTTGTGAAATACCGAAAGCACCTGTAAGCTCAGGAAGGTCGCGACATGTTATACTTATGTTTTCATATATTTCATGATTTAGTCGATGATTTATATGCCATAGTACTCTGTGCCTAATTTGAATAATATATAAATGTACGCTGCTTTGGTGTTGCCCTATCTTAATAAATGCTTTCGTATGAATGTATTAACAGAATTCAATATTATAGATTGTCGGCTAATCATGAAATGCCCAGGCAGATTACGATCTGCCCAACTCTAACGATCAGACTACGGTATAGATAATTACAAAACGACGAAGCACTTTACAATATGCTTCCGACATTTCGGTGACAGGCTACAGCTATGCCATATATACACAGCTGCAGAACGAACGGATGGGCACAAGCAAGGAAGACTACGCCCTCACAGAATAATAATGCTGTGTTTCGTATGCTGAGTGTAGAGAACTGGGGACTCATTTTACCGGTAACGAGACATTAAATCTTAGTCTTTAGGAGTGACTACCCATCTGCATTTTGATTCTTAATCAATTATATAATAATAATTATAGGTCATAGAATCTACTTACCGTCTATGGCACTGTGTGCTCGGTTGTCATTTAAAAAAACTACATATGAGCCTTGTGACGTAAGAATATTCACAACCCTGTCCTACCCCAGTGGGCTGTATACGGTGACTATGACGGCTAGGTTATGTCAAAAATATCTCAATGCTCGATAGATAGCGTTATAACCAGCTAGTTTACGTCAGTCGGAGAATACCCACAAGCAACGGCTAGAAAAGTGTCGAAGGTGCGTGACGTCTGGTATTGTGATTGCCATCTGTTTGCCAAGGTTGGTGATCGAGGATAATCCTCCCTAATTCTATCGCCAATAGACTTTTACGAGCTGGTAAAGAAGACTCTTGTATTGATATATTATACTGCTTCGTTGGTCTAGTAAATACAAACGCGGGTTCTGATCATGGGGTCTCGGGCTGAATCCCGGGTAGGACCAAAATCAGTTATTGAGCTTTTCTGTCAAGAAATTCTCACTAGCAGCCTGAAGTCACATGTTGGCGGTGTTTTCATTCCCTAGCCTCAGAAAGCACAAAAAACCGTTAGTCCTGCACCTGATCTCTTTCCGGTCCTCTCGAATTACTGTCATCGGACTGTGAAAGCTCACTTTTCTCAGGGAATAGAGAATCAACTATACTCGAGCATGCTTGGGGTTTATCTGCGTGACAAACTTAAAAATGAGGATATCCGCAGTAGAACCAGACAGTAATATAGAATAGTGTCCACCTGAAATGTCCACGGATGCTGTGGCCCATAGACATATAAAATGCAGATGCGCTGTCACCCCTAAGCTATAAGATGGAATGCCTCGATTCCAGTAAAGACGGGTCTCCGGTTCTCTACACTCACCATACGAAACACAGTTCTTTCCCGGTCGAGCCGACTCATTCATGCTACAACCATAATATAGCTGCAGCGTGACTCTACCACGTATAAAAAGCCCCCAAGGGTGACTACGCATCTGAATTACGATTCTTAATCGATGAAGAGTAAAATAAATACAGGCCACAGTTTCCACTTACAATCAAGTAGGCTTACACCTCTATGTCGAAATATTAGGAAAATTAAGAGAAGTAAATTCATACTTATCTTTATTTTTCCTACGATTAAGCGATTGAGTTCGTGATGGAGATTATCCGAATAAAATCGAGCCACAACCAATAACAATGCCTCGTAAGTTACCTTAGATAATAATATTATATAGATACCTAGTTATGCGCCAGTTTTGGAAAATCCCGATAAGAAATATCCCGTAAAAATTAATATTTAAATTATCAACATTATTGGTGATCTGTCCCACAGTTTTTTAACATAGTAGAGCGGCACTGCAGCTATATTACAGCTGAAATAAGTAAAAGGGTGATAACTACCCAGGCGGACTCTTAGGCAGTAGAAGTCCTGCTACCTAGCATAATATTTTATTCTAGCCATGAAATAAATAACATGCACCACTACTACTATTTTCTTTCTTTTCTTTCTTTTTTAAAAAACGTTATCTCCACACTAGGATTTTCTCTTGTATCGTGGGTGCAGTTTACAAACATATATTTCACGAGGACAAACATCCAGACCCGGAACAATTAATTGTAGGCTATACAAATACTTGTTCCGTGTGGGATTCGAACCCGCGGTACTTAGCGCTGTAACTCATTGCTAAGCCACTACGCCACTACGAATACACGCGTGTAACAGAAGAATAATACTCTGTTTTGTATGGCAAATGTGCAGAACCAGAAATCCTTTCTTACTGGTAACAAAGTATTTTGTCCGTGTACTGAGTCATGACAAGGCATCTGCTTTTTAATTCTTAATCGATGATACATGTAGATGTCTATGCGCCACAGTATTAACTTGCCATTAGTAACCGCGGCTCCAAATTATCGCCGTGAAGCTCCGTAAACAGGCGTGAACGTGAATGTGGATGGTTTTCGCGGAATTCACGCGCGTTCGCGCCTGTTCCCCGATCGGAGACGGTATTTGTCCCGCGACAAAGGGTTCACGCACCCTTCGCGCGGCGTTCACGCGTACACATCTACATTCACGACGCCATTCCTGTTCGTTTCGGACTACAAAGGCGTGCGGACGATGTATTTTAGTCATACACCATCTTCTTTTTTCCAACGCTTTCTAATAAATTTCTTGTTTTGGACGTCCAAATAGTGATATGTTGCTACAGCAGTTAAAGTTATTGTAGCAGCAGCTTCTACGTCCGTTTCGCGGCGGGTTTCACGAACGATTGTGAGCATCCCGTGAATGTGGAGGGCACGATTAGTGCCGTGAATTCATGGCGTGAAATCGCGCGTGAATCCGCGCGTGAATTCACGGCGATAATGTGGAGCCACCATAAAACTACGTACTCGTTTATTCTATACAAAAATATTATATCCCGGCCTTTCTCTAGACGTTACATCACTGTTCCGACCCGCGCCGTTTCTAAAGTACGAACCATTTGCAATGGCACGTGACGGCAATACGGAGCACGCATTATCCCGCAGAATAGCGTCGTCGCCTGAATAGGCTTGTTTTATTGACCAGCCGATTCGTAAAGTGCCGAATTTCGAGGACACGGTCCCCGGATTATCGATAAGTAGTTGGCGATTATAACTTTGTCAATAGTTCCTTATTTTATGTTGATCGTGAAAATAATACAGTTTCATTTGTATTTTATGCAAAATTATTTTAGTTGTCAAATAGATAAAAGTATCTAAAATTCTATTTGTAAGAGTAATAGAAAATAACTTCACGATTAAAAATATAATATAGGCATTTTCAGTAGCCATTCTTACAAGACTGAGCTGAGCCAGAGAATGCATTAACCCATATCATCCCGGGGTTACCCTAAGGGGTGATTACGAAAAATGCCAGAAAAAATCTTGCAGCTTACCATTTTAGACGTTTTACCATCTCGTAATCAGACGTAAATATCCTGAATGGGGACGGGCAGCAGCGAAAAAGTTTCTCACGTGTGTTACTGTGACTGTCAATTCATCTGTCTAGCGTGACGATATAACGCAAATGCACGTGGAACAGCATAAAACACTTTTAAGAAATTGAGAAACGAGCACATAGTCTACTGCATGGTTATTGGATGCCCAAAACATCTTCATTTATCTTCAATTAAGGATGACTAGGAACTATGTAAAATGCACGTTAGCAGAAAAAAGGGGCATCGGTTCTCTGCAGTTGCTATACGAAACACAGCTTTAATCTGCTGTTACACGCTGGCGTTCTGTGAGAGCGTGATTCTTCCCAGGTGGATCAAACCTTGTGCCCATCGACATGTTCATCTATCCTCGATTATGAATCAAAATGCGGATGCGTTTTTTACCCCGACTGACCCCTGTTGAACTAAAATGTTATAAATAGAATCAGCCTTTACTTTGCAGATGTCTATTATATCAAAGTTTTTAAAAATAATTTGATAAGATCTGCGAATTAAAATAATCACCCTCTATTAAAACAATCAATTTAGCGGCCAACCACCGCAAAGTCTACATCACCTATGGATGCCTCGTCTAGAGGTGAAACACGAATCGTATTTATCGACGGTTGTGACTGTGTCTTTCCTCCTGTAGTAGTGTTGGGATAGTGGCGCTAAGGTAAGTCGTGACGGGGACAGTGCACGCAATTGAAGGAGGGCGGAAGGTGACCTTCAAACTAAGTAGAGTAGTAGCTAGACACATCATTTTATTTTATTACGTAGATTTCAGCAAATAAATTTTTAACATCTTCAATTAAATGTAATGCATTGTATTGAATGAAAAAGGCCTAAGGTTCCCTATGATCACTATAAGAAAGAAAGCAGCATTAAGCTGCTATTTTAAGCTGGTATTGAGACTGTGGTCAATCTACGGCTGAGCCGAACCATTCGCGGTACAACCATAATATACGAGTAGCTGCGGCCTGACTCTGCCACGTGGAAAACTAGTGTATAGTGACGTGTAACGTGTAGAGACTGCTATGTTGGTCTAGTGGTTGTACTAGTGCGAGTGAAAGGAAACGCAATTTTGTTTTCTTTGTCGAAGAAAGAAATATAATCATTTAATTTCTGCATTAATATAAAAACAAAAGGTATCCAATTTTTTGCAAATTTGTACAATATTTTCATCCTTCAAATACCCCAAAAAGTAACCATATGTTAAACCCGAATGTGTGGCGATATGAAAATTAGGATAAAAAATTTCCTTTCTCAAATCCGAACAAAAAATCTTTTGCAAAGAAAATACCTTGTGTATATATTACAGTATTCTATGACAATACCTGACGACGCAATCTGTATTTATTGGAAAGGTGGTACTTTCATAAGTTCTAAAAGTTTTAGTTAAGTGAT